CCTCTATGGCACCAAAACTTATTTTTCAATTTGAGTGAGGATGATTGGCTAGACTATAATCTAAAGAGCATAAAGACAAGTCATGGGAGTTTTTACTGGAGGGATATATTTTTCTTAATGTGCTGGTTTTTGTGGGCATGGAGGAACAATCAAATCCACGATACTAATTTTTCAAGACCTGGGCAACCTAAGAAGTTATTTTTCGCTACATCACAGATATTCAGGCATCCAGAATGAACCACATTCCAGCCCAACTCTCAAATCCCACTAGACAGATAAAAGTTAAATGGAGTTGTCCTAGTAGGAGCTGGGTTAAATTAAACTTTGATGCAGTAGTGAATGTTGAGCTCCACCAAGCTGGTTGCAGAGGGCTTTTACGCAATGAGAATGGAGGTCGGATAGTAGGGTATGCCTCTTCTAGTAGCAGAGTATTAGGGGGTTTTAGTGGCCGTGACCTTGCTTGGACTAAAAGGAGTAAAAAAATTGATAGTGGAAGGTGATTGTATGGGAGTCTGTTCTACGCTTGCTTTTGGTAGCAATGTAGCTCGCGAACCTCACATTATAGGTAAAATTCGAGCATGTTTACACAGAGATTGGGAAGTTCAGTTCAACCATATTCACTGTGAAGGCAATATTTGTGCTGACTGGATGACTCACGAAGCTCTACTCAATCGACACAACTGAAGTTTTTCTCTTCTGTTCCTCTGCGTTTAGAGCAGTTATATAGAGAGGATTCCATGGGAGTCCATAGATCTCGCCTAGTTTTATCATTGTAGTTCCTTTTCCTTTGGGGTTTAGCCCTTTCATTACAAAAATAAAATAAAAAAATCACACACTCTGGATTTGATTAAGTTTGAAGCAAAAATCATCCAATTTAATCCCTTTGGTTTGATCATTTAATCATTCATTCGATTTGCATTTTTTTAATATCTGATCCAATCTAATTCTATTTTATTCGGTTTGGATATGATCAGTTTTTTATTTTTCGAAAAGTCTAAAATTTCAGTTATACAAATCACTAGCTATATCAAAATAAAGTCATTCAAATTTACAAACAACTGAAAAATTCAAGTCTTCAAACTAAAACAAGTCTTAAAACTCATGGAGAGTTAAAATTAATTAATAGACAATAAAAAATTAAAACAAGATAGTTTGCTATCAATAACATCCAAGATTTCGAATCACTATCTTTTGAAAATAATAAATATATAATACATTGGATCGGTTTTCACCAACTAAACCAATTAAAATATGCGCACGCGGGGGGGGGGGTTCGGTTTTTGGTTTTTCAATTTTTAGTTAATTTGATTATTGGTCTTTCGGTTCGGTCACCGTGGTTTGAATCTTTTTGGATCAGTTGATGAATACCCCTAAATCACAATATATAAAATATTAACTAAATCTTATTAAGTTTTGAATTTTTTTCAAGTATTTATCGAATAACGAAAATTTGCGCAACTAAATGGGGTATTTGACTCATTTACCCTTTTTAATTAAAAATTACCACTTCTCCCCCGTTTGCAAACTATTTAAAATATTTGACATTTTTCTTAAATATAACATCAATATGCCCCTGTTTGACTGTTGACCAAAAATTATACTCGAGTACAGGACAATATAGGTGTTCATAATTTCTTGGATTATTTACCCAAGTATGCACCCTCCTACCTGAGTATCACGATGAATACTCGAGTATCCACCCCAGATGTCCAGACTCAGATTGCGTCGCCTCATCATCATCATCCCCTTCCTCCTCAAACGCAGACTCAACAGTAGCAGCTGGCTCCTCCATACTCTGTATGTGCCCTGACTCCAAGCGTCCCACTCTGATATCCCAGCGTCTCACTCTCCCCTCCATCCGAGTCTGCCACCTGCCATGGTCTTTTCTAAATCCCCCAAAGTCATGGGCCAAGGTCTCGACGCTCCATGTCAACCTGTGCATGGATGACATGACATGATCAATCGTCCATCCACCCTCAGGAGCTGGAGGATCTGGTGACAGGTGGCGGGGTAGACGTGCACTAGTAGCTGCTTTAGCATCGTCAAGAGCACCCACTTCAATGTCATCGCCTACAAGTACAATAAGAATATTAACATATTGACAGATTAAATGTAAAAGTCATCACCTGCAAGTGCATCCTCCATCTCAGCATCATGGTGGAAGGGGACTTCAGGTGGCGCAGGTGCAACCTTATACACCCAAACACCAGAAGGTAACTGCTTAATACCATATTGTTTGAGTAAACGCTCTTCGAACTTGGCATTCCATCCTGTGTGGGTCCTCAGTGTCTCTAAATTCAAAGGACACCAAACATGTGCAATATCTTCCTGGTGAAAGATGGCCCACAAAACCACCCTCCAGCACCTTAAAGTGATTATGCGAGCGTTGGAAAATAATGTGTGTGTAGACATAATGTAGTATATGGGCAGGCACAGATAGGTTGCCCACAGGATACTAAGCAATCTGGTCGGGTTCTGCATCAACCCTCCTAGTTTCTTGAATAATCGCCTCCCGATCATAATCCTGAAAAACATAATGGGATTCTCTGTCATACTGGACTGTGTTTGCATCAGCAACAAAATCATAGCCCAGGAGCTCCGTCCAAATAGAGGCAGTCATGATAATATCTATAGCGCGGACGTGGGAAGTCAGCTCGCCCTATGAGTAGTGAAGGTTCTGGGAGAACGCCCTCAATATAACATCTGAATAGGGCACTCAGCAAGGACAAGGAGATGTGTTTGTTCCAATAGTGTCACAATCTAGAACCTATCCAATCTTAAGAACGCCAAATAGAGCCATTTCGGCTCACATATGCAGCGGCTCATGAAGGACTTCATGAACCATTCGTGTGTTGTGACATCGTTCTCAAAAAAATACCCAAGAGGCATGTCAATAGCCTCCTCAAAATCTGGCTCATGCTGAGAGGATAAGGACCCATCGTGGCGACGTTTTGTCCTCCGCTCGGTCGACAATTTTTTCCTCGAAACACATCAATAAGTCATTTTTGTAGAAGTTCAACCTGAAAAATAACAAAGGATAAGAATATGTTTCAGAGACTCATGTGAAACAAAACCAATTGAAGTCTTGTAAACTGGATACTCAAAAAATAAATGAATAACAGTACACAAAACCTCACAATCGAAAATCAACATAAGGAAAGAAAAAATTCAAAGGAAAAAACTTTAAATGATATAGAAATAACAAACCAAGTGAAGAACCCACAGAAGCAACAAAAATCTGAGTCAAAACACCCAAAATTCGAGCCAAATAGTAGGTCCCAAATCGTGCTCCAAAAACTTGGATGGAACAGCCCAAGAAGATAGGGGTTTTGTTCGTGACACTTAAATGAGTGAAATAACCGGTTCAATTTGAAGAAAAACGAGACGAAATTGAATGGGAGGGGGGCTAGGGTTTTTGGTTTAGGAGGGTGCACCCAGGTATTGGTTAAGGGGGAAAATGAGAGAGAAGAGGTTTTCAAAAAACCCAGTTCGCGATAGATACCCGAATACCCATGGTGATACTCGGGTACATAATTCATCAGATTTCCCAGAATATGAACATTACCCAGGTAGGGCATGTCCTATACCCAAGTATCCATTTTCTTTCTCAATATATCCGGGTATTCATCCATATACTCAGGTACGTAATTGGGTCAACAGACAAACAAGGACAAATGGGTGATATGCTTTGAAACGAGGCGGAGTTGATAATTTTTAATTAATTAAAAGGTAAATGGGTCAAATATCCCAACTAAAGGCATAGGTAGTATTTGTACAACTCACGTTAACTTGTCACCCTGATAGTTGCATGTGTGTGTGCAATTAATTGCATTAATTAGGTGAAATATTTGAAAATAACATGAGTAGTGTAATTTATTTATTTTAATTACAATTATTATATATATTTTTGCCATCAATCAAGTCATATAATATAGAACAAATGGTGGAAAATCATTCTTGAAAGTCACAATGTGTGGTTTTGATGGTGGTGGACTTAAATAGTTTGAAAATGTTATTATATATTAAAAAATAATTTGAAGTAGTTTCTTTTATTTTTTTTGTTTTTATACGACAAAAACCAACATACACATTGTTATTTTTTAGCCTTTTTGTTATTAATTTTTTATGGTGTAGGATATAAAATATGATCCTTTTATATTAATTTAAATTTTCACCAAACTTTTTTTTCTTATGATTTTAATTTATTCTATTTCTTGATATATTATATACTTTTAAAAATATATATTTAATTATCTAACTGGTCCGAAAAAAAATAACACGGTAGCTGCTGAATGTAAAATTATTGTAAGATTCAAAATTATACATGTAACCAATGGTGATAGTTCAGTTGGCGCATGCCAATGAAAGTATTACACATCAGAGGAGAGAAAAAAAATTTGACAGCAAAAAAGAATTTTGACTGACATGTAATATATCTATTGGTGGGATGCACTGAATCTTTGGTGCAACAATAGTACCAAAGATTTATTCAGTGAGAGTATATCTTCGATCCTCTCCAGTACCATCTTTGCGAGGGGTTTAAAGCTTTAATCTTGAATCCGTCCTGAATCGGACTAGTCGCAAAATGATGAACCGATTGAAATATTTTCAAAAAATAAAATAAAAAAATTATACATTGAATAATCAATATTACAAAATATTTAAATTTTGTAATTTTTATATGTCACCAAAACTTTTATTTTAAGTTTTATATATGTTTGATGAGGAAGGTTATTCTTACAATTTTTTTTACAACCACATATTATAACCGTTGATTTCTGCCAATCAACGATTGTCATTTATTATGAATTAATAATTAATTAATAAGTTTAATTTGCTAAAATCATAACCGTTAATTGACAAAAATCAACGATTATGATATATGATTGTAAGAGGTTGTAAAAAAAAAAAAATTTGATACGTAAATTTAAAAATATCCGTAGCATCTTCTAGATGATTAGTAATTAGTAGTATCTATTTTCTGCTCTATCTTATGAAGAACTCTTCTTCACTACTATTTTATTTCCCTCCAAACGAACGCGATTGTGGTGTGTGTCTGGGTGGTGGCGGTGATCGGCGAAGCGCGTATTGCTGTAATAATCAGTAATCACCTTGCAATGGAGGAAGCCACCTTTGAGTTTGTACAGCCCTAGAACCCTTTCCTCCTTCATTTTTAGTCTTTAGAGTTTACAGCACAATCTTTTTTTGGGGGGTAAATACCTGACTTCTCCGTTGAAATTGGGTGCGTGATTAACAGGATCTGATTCATTGCATTTTGAAGCGCGTTTGGTCATTGCGAGCCCTTGGTCTCTCTCTTACTATCCTAAATTTCAATCTTATCCTTTCCTTCCCAGTTTATAGAAATCCCTAACTATTTTATTTTATTTTTTGTGTTCCCATTTGCAGAGCGTGAAAATGTTGAACCCAGTGATGCTTTGGACTCCGAGGTTTTCAAATTTATCCCCTTAGCAAATTTCTCACATTTCATTTCTAACCCATGCCCTATGTCGTTGGTTGTGCTGATAAGTCTTTTGTGTTTGTTTCTTTACAATGATATTAATTTTTTGAATTTCCCCTTTTCTTAAATTTTGGGATTTTGGAACGTTAGAATTGTTTCTGCGCTGTTATTTCGAACAATTACTTCACTGGTGAGTGGTGAATGTCAATTACTACATATCATCTTTCAGTCTCGCTTTGTTGATTTACTGCATAAGAATATGTATTTCCCAAAATCTTATTCAATTGTTACTCTTGACCACATCCTTGAAGGACCTTTCAACTTGAAACTCAGAACCTATAAATCTGAATGTCCACAAAAAATTCCATGTAGACCATGTACTAACAGATTAATAAAGAAATTTGTGAGGCCTGCATTTAGAGTTAATTATAGTGCATTTTTATAAATGCAACGGAGTTTTGTGTTGGTATTTGTAGATGAAAAGTCGGTGTAGTAACACAAAATAGAAGGGAGTGCATTGTAATTTACTACTTTGTTTATTGTATCATATTCTCATGTAATGCTTCTTTCTTAAAATGTTTGGTAATGGACCATTTTTTACCCAACCTGTTTCCCTTTCAATTTCTTTTCCTCGTTATTTAGGTTGTCACATACTCACATTTGTCTTCCCGGTAGGATGTTTATAAAACTATTTCACAAATAACTTGATTTGCAAAGTAAATTTTGTAATCTAAAACGACTGGCTGAAATCAACAGCAGTAGCATCTTTAGTAGTATCTACACTCTCTAATATTTTAGTTATTCTCTTTAACTACATAATAATCTGCAAATGGGTTTTACTGTACAGGTTGGAGTTGGAACATCCAAGAAGAATCGGCCAACTTCTGGTATTTATGCAACATTTCCATCATATCAGTCTATTGACAGATTTCTTATTTGTTGGATGTTCTGTGATTATGTTACACTGTAGTTTTGTTGGTATTGCATTGTGGACATTTGCAAGTTACTCATTTGTCCAACTTTCTTCTATTCTGATGCAGCTAATGCCAATGCTCTGAAGCTTACTTGTGAACTTCTCCGGGTTTTTGTCTCAGGTTCAACCATCTTAGAATAGAAACACGTTTGTGCTTGGTCAACACTATGACTTTGTACATATTTCTATATCATCTTGACCAAAACCTTTCTGTGGATGCAGAGGCTGTTCAGCGTGCTGCTGCTATTGCAGAGGCAGAGGGTGTTAGTCAAATAGAAGCTACTCATTTGGAGTGTATTCTTCCTCAGTTACTTTTAGATTTCTGAAGTTTTGGAAATACTTATATGTAACTTCTACTTCCCCCTGTTTTCAATCTAGTAGAAAGCTCATTAAGATTTGTTGGTCATAAATAAGCTATATCAGATACAATTAATTATTCTACATGGAAATTGAAAGAGAAAAAGGCTAGGTGAGAACTCCGGAGTCCGGAGTACTTCACTTTCGTTTCTTTCTAATGATTGATTGCTTTTTAAGTGCTGCCTGAATAAGGAAGATACAGCAATGGAGGAGGGACGATTTTCTTGCGCTTATCTTTCACAATAATAATACTCGAATAATTTTCAGGATCAATACTGTTTCAGGGTGACTTCCGGGCCGGACCTGGGCTTCATGGCCCAGGTTACTTCCAGTTCAGGATCTCCGGGTAGCCATATACTATCGGGCACGGCAAAAACTCGTAGAAGCCTACTGGCCCGACGATCCTGTGAAGTCACTCTCTCACTCACGACCACGACGACCACTACTAGTGAGATAACTGCTCTAGGGTCACTTTTCATCAGCATAACCATCCTTGGGAGCCTAATATATTGCAGAATAGTGCTCCACAAGGGATCATCTTTAGCATATTGCCTCCTTAGAGTATTCACCATCTGGAGGTGTATACATACACCCCTGATATTCATGCTATCAGATTACGGGATAGAAATACTAGCCTCTCATTGCCAGTCATCTTTATCTTGGTTCAGTATATATAATTACTAGCTCTTCAGTTAGATATTCTGTATTCATCTATCGAACAAATACCTAGCCGCAGTACAAACTAGCAGTTCTATATACGATTAGACATAGATCACTACAGTGCAGTTTTCTTTTTTTCTTTTGGTCGAGGGCGGGGGATTTAGCAGTCTGTGATGAAGGGAACAATTTTGTATTGGTTCGTTTGCATTTTGAACTAACACCTACCATCTATTTCTCTTTGATATTCTTAAACGCACTCTAAACCCCGTAGTCTATGTCTAAAAGATCCTGACTGCCTAATTTGGACTTCAAGGAAATCTAGATTCCTAAGATCATTCAGCATATCCGAATGCAGTCACTATTTGTTACAAGTCGGCCAGTGATTATACAAGAGCTATAATTCCATGATGAACCATAAAATTTGATTGTATTTTGGATTCAGCATAAATCAAAGCAGACCAAACATCAAGATTGTTTTTGGCATAAACATGTGCGCCAGTAAATAGTAAGAATTGCATTTAATTATAATTGCTTTTACCGCAGAGGAGATCCTGATCACTGGGCTCTTAAAGCTAAGCAAAAACCTCTTTTCAAGAATTACAAGGAATTTCAACAGTTGACAAACTAATTACATTTGACATGCTATATATATGGCAGGGTAAGATATTATTGCTTAAAAGAATGGCAGTGTGACTAAAGTAAAATAAAATTGTTGCACTGAGGGATGGGGCGAAAAAGCCCAAGCTAAACAAAGCCCATTCTCTCTATAATAAGCCTACAGGACCCGGGGCGGGCCTGGGGGACGGAGGACGGTATCGCACATGCTAGAATAGAATGTGAATGAGCGTGCGAACGAAATTTGGAAAGTACCAGAAAGAAAAAAAGAAATGCTTTTACTGAAAACTAACACTAACACTAACACCAACACCAACACCAACGTGGCCTCTATTTCTAAAGCCCAAACGTTCAACACCAACGTCATCAGAGTCAGTGTAAGTTTCACGCACGCTGATCTGAGTCACAGCTGTGAAATCCCCACCACCATTCTTTCCCCAAACCTTAATTTACTCGCTGGGAAACGCTCTCTTCTGTGGGATGGAGGTAACTCCCTTTCTCTTCCTTGAACGTTTATCAAGTTTCTTTTTTATGAGCTGTCAGGGAATCCTTATGTTGTTCTGAGCGCTGAGTCTTTATCTGGTCGGCTAAATAGAGAAATCGTGATTTTTTTTTAAAAATATATTACTGTTAATTTGTTTTCAAATATGGACCTTCTCGTGAATGGAATTTTATGATAATCTCTTCGAGTAGTTTGGGCATTGTCTTATGTACCTGTAACTGATAATGACTATTGCAATCTCGTATGTTGTTACCAACATTATGCATGTTCAATAGCCTTGTGTGAAAAAACTAGACCTTTCTTCTTCTCCCATTAGAGGCCAAACCACTTGGCAAGGTTTATCTGAATTGATCATTCAAGATTTAACTTTTATTCAGAATGGTGCTTGTATTTATACTTAATTGCTTTGTAGGTTTTTGCATTTTTCAGCCCATAAATTTAGACTGACTCTTTCTGCCCGCTTGCCATGAGGATGAAGTTAAGAGAAAAGTAATAAGGGAACAGTGCTATTACAGTATTACTTGTTTATTTTATTTATAAAGTCATCTTATTTTTTCACTATTATTTAAAAGAAAACGAATCCAAACTACATATAATTTTGCAAAAAATACAGCAATTCTGGTCTGGGAGTGCCATCAATGAAAACAAAGGGATGGTGGAGAATTTGCAGCGTTATGGAGTAATCACATCTAGAAAGGTAGCTGAAGTAATGGAAACCATTGATAGAGGTTTGTTTGTTCCCGATGGAGCCCAACCTTATGTAGACAGCCCCATGCCTATAGGCTACAATGCCACTATATCTGCACCGCATATGCATGCCACGTGCCTTCAGTTGCTGGAGAGGAATTTGCTACCTGGGATGCGTGCTCTGGATGTTGGCTCTGGTATAGTCAATGAACTATCTATAATTATTATTATTTTCTAATTTATTCTAATGTATTACAGAGAAATGGAAAATCCTTTAGTTAGGTAATAAATTTTATTTCACCATTGTGTTTATTGAACTTACTGTTGATGAGTCATAGATACACCAGGTAAGATTTTGAAGTTACTATGCCATGTTTGTTTAGATTGATTACTAAAATCGATGGTAGTATTTTTCTAGCTGATGCAAAAAAAATGGATGATATTATACGTTCCAATATGTGCTATGGAGAATTAAATAATGTTCTATTTGACAGGAATTTTGCTTCCTTTTTTCTCCATATTCTCGCATTTGTTGCTCACAATTCCCATACTTTGGGCCTCTTTCCAGGAACGGGGTACCTGACTGCGTGCTTTGCCTTGATGCTTGGACCCCAAGGCCGTGCTATTGGTGTGGAACATATTCCAGAATTGGCATCTTTTTCAATCGAGAATATTCGAAAAAGTGCTGCAGCCCCACTATTGAAAGATGGCTCGCTTTCTGTGCATGTTGGTGGTATGGTTTCTATAATTTATGTGAATTTGAAAGATTGAAACTCGTAACTTTTGCGCGACAAAAGTACAGTTCCGTTTGATCTAATTGATCAACAGAGTTTAATCTTGTCCATTTGTCGGGTATGGGGGATGAAGGCTTATTGTAAGGTGAAGGATTGAATAATTTTAATTTTAACGAGTCCTTAAGATACTCAGAAAAGCATAACCTCATAGTCAGGATTTGGGATTTGTTTCTGAAGTGGTTGAATCAATTTAAGCTGAGAGTAGAGTTGATCCATAAGCATTCCTCATGTTACGGCATTCCAAGATATCCATTTTCACTATCGCAAACTCTTCCCTCTGGTGTATGTTGATAACTGCATGGTTATATTAATGTTTCTTGAGCAGTTAAATAATTGATATTTTAAGCTGGTGGAGCAATAATTTCAAATTTTTGTGTTGACAGATGGAAGGCAAGGTTGGCCTGAGTTTGCTCCTTATAATGCCATTCACGTTGGAGCAGCGGCATCAGAAATTCACCAAGCACTTGTTGACCAGTTGAAACCGGGTGGTAGAATGGTTATTCCTGTTGGAAACATATTTCAAGATTTACAGGTTGTGGATAAGAACACTGATGGTTCTATCAGTATCAGGACTGAGACTTCTGTTCGATATGTGCCTCTCACAAGCAGAGAAGCTCAACTGCGAGGTTAGTGAAGTGGACGCAATATCCTGAACACTTGAAGGCTGGTACTTTAAGAAATTAGTGGTGTTACATGATGTAAGAATTTGTCTAGTTAAAGGTGGTGATCATTTCTTACCCGAAAAAGTCCAAAAAAAAATAGGTTCATGTTGATCATCTCATTCATCTGAAGTAATAGTAATAATTATTCCATAGATATTCGCGTCTGTTGTCTGAATGTATTTTTTTTTTAAAAAAACTATCTTATATTAAACAATAATAAAATTTCTAAACCATGGCACAGCCCAAACTTTGATAACTTTCAACATTTGCCTTGTAGTATATATACTTTCTCTGTTTATAAATGATTTGGAAGTTTGATTTTTTATGGCGATTTAGGCAAATAGTAAAGGGTTTATTTGTCTACTAAAAAAATAAAAAAAGGGTTTGTTTGTAATTATTTGAAATTAATAGCAAGAGGAGCAGTGTTAAAACTGTTCCTTCATTACTGAAAGGTCGTGAGTTCGAATCTTTAATGATTTGGAACCCCACACTCGCTAGTCGGGTTTAACGGAGAGTGATTTTTATTTTTATTTTTTAATAGCAAGAAATAATGAAATTATTTAAATTTAATTCTGATTACTGATGTATAACTTTTTATCAATGTTATTATTTATAGGACAAATGACTTCTCCTGGTGCAGGAGGAGAAAAGTTATTCTTGCAGTTCAAAAATTGTGCCAGAATGTTTATTATTTTTATTATTATTTAAAAAAAAAAACAGGGGCCCAAAAACTTTTTTCTACCGTATGAAAAGAACAATTTCGTGCAACATGAGATGTTTAAAACCCTTATTTATAACATTTTGATTTGTTAATGTTGAATTTGTAAATTAAGTTGAAACCACTTGATAAGTGATATCGTCCAGAATTCGAGGACAATCTAAGTGAACCCTTTCAAAAATATTATTTGCCGACTCCAACAATATTGTTAAAATCGAGATCTTAAGTAAGATCAGAAGGAAATTAAAAAATCATAAACCGTAAAATCGTAATGTAAAAAAATCGTAAAAAATCTTAAAAATGTGAAAGCGTTTGAAATATTAGTAAAATCGTTTTGATAAAAAAAAATCATAAAAACGTAAAATCGTAGTGATAAATCGAGATTTTAACAACAATACTCCAATCCTAGATGACGTTCAAAATAAAAGAAATTATTTATTTGAACTTTTAAGTACTGTATAAGTAGCCACATAATTTATTGGTAGATTTATGCAATAAGACAATTTCTATAATTTTATTCATCAATAGCAAACATAATGGTAGAAAAAGAAAAAGCGACAGAGTTTCTTCACAATACCTACAGGAATTTATATCTCACATCAAATGAACAACATTAAAATATGTGAATCTAATCTGAAACCAGCTCCCAAAGAAAGGAAATTTAAAATAAAAAAATGAAACTATATCCTCCTCAGCAAAAAAAAAAAACTCAAGCAGCGGACATGGAGGATTACTTGAGTTACCACTCAAAAGGAGCTACGCCTGGGCCTTTCCTCAGCAACATTCACTCTGATTGCCCTCCCGTCCAAGCTCTGCAATATCAGAACCACCATATCAGAATTTTATTCCAAAGGCTTACTTAACCACATAACTAGTCCTTAAAATTTTAAATTATTCAAAATTTCATTAGCTGCCATTTTAAAACATTGTCCACGAGAACATTAGCCAGTAGCAATCTTGTTGCCTTTAGCACTCAAGCACATTTAATTACCAATTCATGTTACCAATGATCAAGTAAATTAGTAGTTTTGTGATATGATACCTGACCATCAAGAGCAGCAATGGCATCATTAATATCAGTCTCACTGGACATTGTGACAAAGCCAAAACCACGTGATCGACCAGTCTCTCTGTCATAGACTACCCGTGCATTCTCAACCTTACCATGTTCACTGAAAATTTGCTCCAGGCGAACATTGTCAACATCCCATGGCAAGTTACCAACGTAGACTCTCAAACCATTATCAAAGGCACGGGGTGGCCGTTCAGGCTGTGCTCCTTTTGGAGCAGCCTTATTGACAGTCAACACTCTTCCATCTAAATCCTGTCACAAAAGATGGCTGAGGTTCACAAAAACTCAACAAACCACAAAAGAAAAAAAAATAAAAATAAAAAAGGCATTCAGAGAAGAAAATAATAATGCATGTGCTTCTTCCAGTAAAGGACATGTCCCACATGTAAGACACAATTGAACTCAGAAAAAAACCTTCGTACATGCAGAAAAGTTTCCATACTCATAGACTGAGAAGATCAAATTTTTAAAGATTCAGTTTTATTTTTGTTATGTATAGATAAAAGTCTATAATTACAAACAATAAAGGGTAAACTTCAGTGCCCAAAGCTCCCTATTTTGTGAGGGTAAAGCTGAGGATTGGTTACGCACAGTCTAATGCATACATTTTTGTAAAGAAACTGAACCCATGACTTTCGGGAAAGGAGAAATCTTATCATTACTCCAAGACTCACCCTCAATTACAAATAACAACATTCCAAAAATAATAACATGGAAGTCCCAATATTAATACATAAGTTGATACTGAAGTAGGAAGGTATTCAAATGTCATAAGGCAAAAACTACCAATTAAGAGTTTTAGTCTAAACATTTTTACCGCATCCTTGCCACGATTAAGTCTCAAGAATTTTACTATGATGAGAGCAAATCATGGTTAGACCAATGAACAAGAAAGGAATAACATTTACACCAGCCAGCAAGTTTAGTAAACCTCATAGACCAACCTGATGATGTCTAGGGTTAACTATATAAAGATAACAAAAAAGAAGCAAATATACTAATAATTTGACAACCCTGTACATAATTGTTTACACTTTTACACTAAGCTATTGGCATTGAGAATTAGAAACATATCAACAGGTCACACTTCCCATTCTCCTTGTCCAATTTCTAAGAGATGTTTTCCACCCCAATATTTGATCATAATTATTAATTACAACCCTTATCACTTAGTCACACAAATACAAAATATAAACAAACAACTTACATAGCCACTGAACTTCTCTACAGCCTTCTCCAATTCTTCAACTGTACTCATGGTGACGAATCCAAACCCACGACTTCGGTCAGTGGCCCTATTATAAATGACCTAAAATCAAAAGAAAAGAGCCACATTTAAAAAATCCTCAGATGTTGAAAGTTATAAACATAAAACAAAATATAACAACATTACACGCAAAACCTCATCAATGAAATTCAAAGTATCAAGGACTCACCTCAGCAACCATAACCGTCCCAGCCGTCTCAAAAAGCATGGCCAATTTCTCACTGTCAACATCGAAAGGCAAATTCCCAACGAATATCTTCAATTCTTCAGATTGAGCAAAAGTCCCATCTTCATCACTCTCTCCTTCGCCCTCTCCACCTTCGGTTTCGTCAACATCTTCATTACCCCATGTGGATTCGTCGCGGTTCTCCCATCCGGTTTCTTCTTCTTCTTTTTCTTCTTCTTCTTGTTGAGCCCAATCAGATGTCTGGGCTACAAATGTGAGGAAAGAGGAATGGTGGGTTTTCCTCCTACTGAGGGAGAGAGAATTGGAGCATGCCAATTGCACCTTGAGGGGCTTAGAAGTATTTGAGAAAATTGGGTATTTGGTTTTGCTGTAGAAAAGTGAGGGTAGAGGGAGTAGGCATGATTCTGCCATTGTGAGGGATTTGAACGCAGGCATAGTTGTGATAGACATAGACGAGTGCAGAGACAGAAGAGAAGGAGGGTTTAGACTACAGTTTAGAACAACACAAGTACACAACACAAGAGAGTTTGAAGATAAGGTCTAGAATTGGATTGTAGAAGTTAAGGGTTTTGGAACTAAACTATTGTACGAAATTTTGGACAAGGTTGGTTGTTGTTTTTTTTGGTTGTTGATTGTGCTTATAAAGATTCCTACTGGGCTTGTTATCAAAAAAAAAAAAAAAATTCCTACTGGGCCTCCTGCAACATGGGCTTCTATGATTCTGTTCAATGCACTTTTCATTCACAGATATAATAGGTAAGATTCGATTGACATTTGAAAGGATTTTAATAGATTATTTTGACAAAAAATTGATTGTATTCAATTAGAATTTTAAAAGATTAAAAAATAGTCACGTGATATTTCATTAGGATTTTAAAAGATTATTTTAGAGTCTGTCCAAATCCGTTGATATTCAATCAGGATTTTAAACAAAGGAAAAACAATCTTGTGATATTCAAAAATCTAACGATTTTAATGGATTTTCTATTGGTATGGATTTTTTAGTGAAAAATATAAATAAGATATCTCTCTAACAATCTCACCCTAAACTCTTAGGATTTTTTGAAATTTCTCTATTGTAGTATCGTTTTCTTCCTTTGGCGGGTTAAATTGCTCGAAACCGGGTTCCGCCATGGGCAATGTTGACAAAATTGAGTTTCTACGTAGAAAAGGAAGGGAATAGTAGAAACGTAAATCGTAGAAACGACACAAAACGTAAATTTTTTACTACTTAAGATCAAGATACAAAATTATATATATATATATATATATATATATATATATATATATATGCATGTAAAAAAAATATCACATAAGTTTCTACTCAAAATTCAATGAATAACTTCATATTTAAAAGATATAAGTCATATAACTATTTATGTCTTATAAACACAAAAAAGAGTTTAAGAACGCCTATAACCAAGTTCCACAACATCAAAATAATAAAGTTTAACAACTCTTACATGGAAATACAGCGGCCTCGTGTGAGATTTTGTTTTTTCAAATAGCTAGAAGAAGATACTATGCATTTAATTTGGGGAAATGGGAATAGGGTATTTTTATTTTATTTTATTAAAAATATAAAAATAAAACCAATCATGGGTTAAAATTTGACCTGGTTTGATTTTTTTGTTTAAGTAAAAACGTAAAAACTTGTGTTTTTACTAGTTTTTACTTGCGTTTTAAGACATATTACTTTAGTAAAAACGTAAAAATGTAAGTTTTTACGTTTTTACACTAGTTTTTAACAACAATGGCTACGGGAGCTTCGTCAAAACTCAAAACTAATTGATTTTTGAGCGATTTTTATCACAAAATAACCCAGAAACAACAAATCAACAAGATTTTAATATAATTCATCTCAAAGGTAGCAGAGTTTTGAGCAATTTTTAGAGCTTTTGGAAGTTTAAAAAATGATTTTCAAGTTATAGGTCGTAATTTTTTTGGCACAAAAACGTGTGATTTTTGTATTTAAAACAACATAAAGCAGTGGGAAAACAATAGAGGAACCAAAACCCTCAATTCAATTTTGGTTTTACATCAGTGAAACAATATCAATGTAAAAAAGATTGAAATATGAACCCTATATTTCATAACAATACATTCATGAATAAAATTTCTTCGCTATAGGAAACGATTTCGAACAATTTTTGTGTCAATAGATAACTAAAAATTTATTTTTCAAAAGTCCCAAAGCAATTTAAGGTTTCAATGTATCGATTGAAAATAATTTGAGAAATTTTTAAACTTTCATGTAATAAAATCCATAAATTCAGATTCAAAATTTTCTTAGAATACTCAATGAAAACATGCATATGATAAATGGTTAAAAACTCTCATTACGTAGAACAAAAATCTCAAGGTTTCCAAAATCAATTGCAAAAAATTTCAAACGAAATTTTATCATGAACTTCAGATTCTATATGCAAATTTAGAATTATTTCAATAAATAAAAAAATTGATCTTATAGTCATATGTGTATAGCTCTGATACCAAATAAAAAAGATAATTTTTACCCCATTAGTTAAACCCAAGAGCAAGAACGAGAAAATGCTAATGCGTGGGGACTAGTATAGCTTTAGATATGTGGAGAGATATTGCTTAGTAATTTTGAATATTTGTTAAAAATTATATTATGTTTTAATAGTATAGCTTTAGATATGTGGTAAGATGTTACTGAGTAATTTTGAATGTTTGTTAAAAATTATATTATATTTTAATGATTGAGAAAATTATATTAGGTTTTACTTTTTTTATTAATATCATTACATTTCTTTGTTCCTTCTTTTTTTGACTCTTGTAGTTTTGAATGTTTTTTCAAAATTCATATATTTTTTAAAATCTTATAAATTCATATTATCCTTTCAAATATTATAAAATCTATTAAATCTTTTAAAACTCAATCTTACGAAATCTTGATTATAAAAAAAAGCCTTTTAAAAAAGTCTTTGAAGTTTCTCCAATTCTAAATAATATTTTAAAATCTATAAAAAAAATTATCTTAAAAAAAGGGAAGGATATTGTAGCAACCAATTAGTGTTACTACCAATCAATCTTACCGTTAGATCGATTATGTTGATCCAACGGTTATATTTATTTTCATCTTTGTATGATTATTATTCCCTATATTTAATATTTTATATTTATTTTCACCTTTGTATAGTTAAAATTTCCCATATTTAATGTTTTCACATTAAATATGGGGAATCAAAACCATATAAAGATGGAATTTGATCAATATAATCGATCTAATGGTAAAATTGATTGGTAGTAACACTAATTGGTTGTTACAATATCCTACCCCCTTAAAAAAATATTTTAAAATCCTAACCCAATCACCCCACTAAATAAAAGAAGTGTGATTAAAAAATAAAATATTAAAAAATTTAAATGTTTAAATATATTAATTTATTATATGTGCTTCGTTGTCTTGTGTTATATATATAAAGAGGGAGAATGATGCATGACGAAGAAATATGTTAATTTAGATGATTATGTAATTTTAAAATCTCATCTTATTTTGGAATGTTTCTTGGGGTAGGATATATTTACCATAAAAAAAGTTTACCATCTTCACAACCAACCTAATCACCGTTGATTTCCGTCAATCTAACGGTTATAATTTATTGAAAATTAATAATTAAGTAATAAATGTGATCCAATAATTTCTAATAAATTATAACCGTTAGATTGACGGAAATCAACGGTGATTAGGTTAGTTGTAAAGGTGGTAAACTTTTTTGGTAGTAAGTATATCTTTCCCCATATTTCTTTGTGTTTAGATATTTTTAGCAATTGTGTTATTTGATGTTTTTAATTTATTTTAAGAATCTATGTTATTCTAGAGACTTTATCTTCAATAAATTGTTCATTTCTTAAAAAAATACTATCATATTATAGTTTACTATTTGATTAATGCTCAAATAGTTGGGGTTTGATCATAACGGAGTTACACATGCCTTGTACTTTTAAGACCTTGGTATTGATAGTAAAACGATGTTGAATTCGAATTCTATAAATTTTATATTTGGAATCATAGTTTATTTATTACGGTCACAATAATTCTCGATTCTTCATTGTAGAGCTTGTAAAATTAGTTCTTTCTTTATAGTTTCATCCAATTCACATCTGAGATGTAAGAAAATTTATTCTGAAGATGGTTCATGTGCAGACCAAACAGAAAGTCCATGATATTACTCTCAATAAAAACTTTCGTATTCCACATGCCTAAAATTTTTTGGAGTTTACACAAATTAAGACGACCTATACTATCCTTGGTAAAAAATGGACCATTAATAACCTTATTAGCAATCATGTGGCTAAGGAAAATAAATTTAAGAAAGAAATGAATGACCTGTCTTATAATATCGGGATCCTTTCTTTTCTCGGTAAATACCATTATTGGAAGGTAATTGAAAACAAAGACTCGTCTGATGCTTACCATAAAAATCAAAATTCAAGAAAACCATAGTGGTCAGCGTCACAATATAGGAGGTCCTAAGCCAGCAACTTTTAAGAGAATTATCTGGTGTGAGGGAAAGGGCATAGGAAAACTGATTGCAATAGACTCAAGGTTTGGTTAGAGAATACGCATAGAATTGAAATGGTTCAAGAATTTATTGAAACCAAGCTCAGGGTTGAATATGGTCTTGAAGTTATTATGAAGTTAGAGGGAGATGTTGGCTTAAATTTAGTCTAACAGCCCAAACTTTTAAGAATTGATTATGTATGGTTATTATGGATATAATTACATAAGTATAGGAAATTACATAGTTATATTATGTAATTTTACTGTGAATATATTACGGAAGCTAGAATTGATCTGTTAATCATCCGATTGACATGAAATAAACTATGAAAATATAATTCATGCCAAGCAAGTCAATTAGGACCCTTATAGTAATATTTGAAAAGTTTAGGGGTCAAATTTTAATTATGTGAAAGTATAGGGACTATTTCACAATTAAGCAAAATTAGGTCTAAACTTTAATTAAAGTATATGATTAAATTCTATGGAATATTTTAAGGGTTTTAAGTATTCTTAAAACATGTTAATTATGTCTAGAATAATTATAAAAATTAAGACAAGAATTAATAAAATCAACCAATAGGAAATAAGATAACATAAGTGTAAAAAAAAGTCAATTTTTGTGTGTTAGATCTTTCTAAGTGTTCCAAGGTCTGGTTTTGGCTTCTTTAAGGGACCAAAATATGATGCTTCTTCTTCCTAAAAACCATGGAAGCCATGGGAGAAAAGGAGAGTTCAAGAATTTGGTCTTTTGGTCACTAAAATGCATAATTTCTTTGAGAGAAAATCTTCCTAGTCATCTTGTGAGTAAAATCCTAGTTTCTAATCTTCAAAAGAAGCTTTGTGTGCCTTATTTTTTCCTCTTAAGGACATAGACTAGCAACTTCAATCAAGGGAAAATTAGGGGTTTTGAAGCTTGTTTGGAGAATAATTGATGATATAGTCTTCTTGAAGTGATTTAAGGTAACTAACTACCTTTTTTAGCGTAATTTCATGAATTTTAAATTGTGGTTTATGAAAAGGGGGATGATTTTGTATGATGTTAAATCATGAGTATATGTTGTGTTTTG